GAAGATGGAGCAAAATGAGGAGAACCGGCAGGCTTACCTGGCCGCCATTATGGAGCGCCTGCAGGAGAGGGTAAGGAGCAGGTCACAGCCATGATTTCAGATAGACTGAGGTTATAAATCCAAGTCCACACACCCCCAGAACATTTTGACCAGAAAAGGTCTGTTAACTATCCAGTTATCTGTTTTATTACATTAACACAGGACAGTAGGTTCCAAATGTTGTTTCCAAGCCTAAATTAAAATACTGGTAACAAAATCTTTACATTTATTGGCATACATTGTGTCTAAAATATGCTACAATAATGCTAGCTTTTAATAGTGATTGCTAAAACCCCAAATCTCCAGAATGTCCTCAATTGTAGCTACGGTTCTGGATTAGGTTGCAATAGCTATTTGTAAATTCATCAATAAGTTACTACTTGCTAGTTTCATCAATAGTGATTTACTACTGTAAATTGGTTGAATCATTAAAACTTAAAATGCTAGGCTAAACTTTAGTAATGTATAATTTGGTTGCTAGAAATAATCTTCAGCATCTGTCCACTTCATAAACAGGAAGTCACTGTAACATCAAAATCTGTAACATAACTGCTGTGCTACTAACTATGATTGTTTTATTATAACATATCTAGGATAGGATTCAGAGTTAATAATATTCATTCAATTTAGAATGGAATTATCTTCTAATTATCATGGAAATACATGTCAATGTTGAAATATAAAGGAGTTAGTGTTTAACATGTAAAGAAATCAGGCATCATGTGAGCTGTGTTTCTAGCAGTGCGCTGTGCTGCTCAGGCATTCCTACAGGGAGGGGGGGCATTGTTAGGAGGGAGCCTCACTGCCTCTCTCCTGTGAGGGAGCATTCTCCTAGGCATACGCTCTGGTGAGCAAAGGTCATGATGACATCCGCTTTCTCACTGAGTTCAGCACACAAACCAAACACGCTCACTTGATTGCAACAATAATATATCTAATTGAGTGACACATGCAGTATGGCAATAAAGCTTTTATTTTTTACAATCTGCTGCAGCGATAAATACACCATCATTGCTAGGTTGAGCCAATTTGCATTGAATAGGGCAGAATAATGGTGTCAAAAGTTATAATGTAATAATAATACAGAGTTTGATCAGTTGCTCCCTGGGATTTATAATAAAACTCATATTGGATTTAACCTTTACAGTGTTTCAGTAAAGGGAATTTAACAGTGTGTGTGTGTGTGTGTGTGTGTGTGTGTGTGTGTGTGTGTGTGTGTGTGTGTGTGTGTGTGTGTGAGGACCTCAGGATATCTGGCCCAGCTAAAAGTTTCTCAACCACAGAATGAGTGGGAAATATCCAATAGTGCTAACGTATCTTACGCATTTTATTAATTAGTTTGATAATACACTTTTACACTTTAGGAGACGATATGGAAAAATAGGAAGCCTAGAGTGATTTGGAAAAGACAAAGATGCAATCTTGAGCATGGAGGATGGGAGAAAAATAATTATATGAGTAGAAAATTATGTAATTTGTCTGCAAAGGTCAAAGAAGAGAAATAGTGAAGTGAACAAGAAACAAATGCCAGGAAAGGGCCTACAGGAGAGAAAATCTTAAAAAAAAATCAATCTGTGTTTGTGTTTTCTCTAGGAGAGGCATGCTCAGGAGGTGCGCAGGAACAAGGAGTTGAGAGAAGAAGTGACAGCGTGAGAAGCCCCAACAGGTTCTACGTCCCACCCCAAACCCCCCCACTTCCCGACCCTGAGGAACACCCTTTTCCCCACCTTATCCCACATGTCCCCACCTCTCCACGCCCCCTGCCATACTCCCCCATCCTACTATGAAACTACCACAGCCTGATACGCCACCCCGAGACAGTGGGAGGTTCAAATGGGGTTGGGGGTGGACAAAAAAAAAAGCAAAAATAATTTAAAAAACGGATGAATTAATGTCTCCCACCCACTCTTCCCAAAAAAGAATGTTGTTGCTCCGTTTCAAATGAGAAGAAAAGAAAAAAATTGACAAACGACAGTGGGTATTGGTTTTTGTAAATACTTCTTTTTTTGTTATATACAGTACGATACAAGCAGCAAAAGTATTGATTGCAGTGTGCCATTTTTCTATATAAGTTTCCTCTCCTTGCATATATATGGATGTAATAATTTGTTCATTTTCATGTTTGTTCATTTCTGCCTGAGAATCATTTCAGGCGTAGGTGTTTGTTGTGAGTTTGCCAGCTAGCTGATGTTTGCTGTGACTGGCTGCGTCCTCACTAGGCCCGCATCCTGGCTCCGTTCCCACGTCCCTTCAAGTGGGCACTTACTCATTTGACACTGCCGATCTGGACACAAAATTGGATCTGTGTTTGGTCAGAGTGATTTTCCATCCAGTTTATGCCAATGTTCCAATTAGTGAGGGACATGTGCAGGAAAGTTGGCAGAAGGAAAGGGGACAGTTTGCTTTCTGTGGGGACTGCAAGCCATCGCTGCACAGCCACTCCTGTGAGGTAGATGGTGACTGTACCACAGGAGAACACTATAGCATTTAAAGAGCCCTTCCTCCTCCTCCTTCCCTCCATCTGCAACCTCTTCATCTCTCCACATACATACATACTGTAGAAGCACTCACTCACACACTCTCCACATGGGCAGGCATTTAGCCAATCATAGCACAGAGCTCAGTAGGAGTTCGTTAAATTCTGTCCATCTGGCACCGGAAAGCTCACATAACATCCCTGACTAATGGCGGACCTCTTATATTCCTCAGAAACCGGCTTCCAATCACATTTAAATCACGTGTCACCGTAATATACAACACAACTAAGGTTAAAGTGTATTTGAAGAATGCTGGAGCGCAAAAACTTCACCTGAGATAAGACTTGTTACTGTGAATCTTATATCGGAGAAAACACAAATAGATTCCACCTTTCTCCATTTCCATAGAAGCTAGAGTGGTGCTCAGCATCGTCAGCGCCTACTGGAATCATTGCACTTCACTCCAAGACACTGTATGCCACTGATAGGTCGGCACAAGAAAGATATTGAAGCCATAACCGGTATCGCTGCAACAAGTGTGATCCATGAACACAGTATTGCCATCTGTAAAGGTGTATATGAGTGTATTAAAGTATCCAAATAGTTTGTAACCAGGGGTGCTGAAGCCTGAGGTTGAACCCTGTCGAATCCACACACACAAGGTAGGCCCATAGATGTGTGTGAGTGTGCGTGTGTGTATTTCAGAAAGGGCGGGTAGAAAAAAGAATGTTTGTGCCATGTGATATTGACCCGGTAAAGTTCAAACCAACACCATTACAGTGTGTAACAGCTGCACAAGTACACCACAGAATACAGTGACTATCCTACCTGCCTCTCTCTTGATCTCTCTTTCTCTCCTCTGTCCATTTGTGTGTTTCCCCCTCTCCACATATATCTTTGTGAGCAAGCAGTGGTTAATAAAGATTTGGGGTTCAGTGAATGAAATTGGCTTTGAGAGTGACTTCTTACAGATACATTTCTATGAATTAAAAGGGATACAAATGTATTGTATTGGGCAAAAGACGGGTTAGACCCTGGACAGGTCGGCAATCCATCGCAGGGCCACACATACACAAGCAACCAGTCACACTCACGGACAATTTAGGGTCACCAATCAACCTAGTCCACATGTCTTTGGAAGCCGTAGCACCCGAAGAGAACCCACGCAGACACAGGGAGAACATGCAAAGGACGGGTTTGATCCCACAAACTTTTTGCTTAGCATAAAAATGACAGTTTCATGGCCCTGACTTTGTAGATGAGGGCTCACTGATAAAGTTTTGCACAGTTCCTGTGATTCCATCGCAGGGCCACACATAGACACAAAAGATTGGTTGATTCCATTAAATCCCTGGAGTATGTTTTACAGTGCAGTAACAGTTTATTTTGCAGATTCAAAAAAAGATCATCAGTGTACAAAATAAGACAAAGCAGCTCCCCCTTAGGAAGCTACAACATGAAAATACTACTTTCAAGTAAATGTATCAACAATAATAAAATACACATAGTAATACACCACTTTCAATTGTTTATAGGTGTCATTCTGCATTATTAGTACTAATACGCTACACGTATATTTATTCAAGTGAAATTTTTAATGCGGGACTTGTGTTATTGCTACTTTTACTTGGGAAAATAATCTCAGCCACCTGACCCTTCACAAGTCTTCCTGTTACATGGTCATTACCATTTATGGCCAGCTGGGGGAGACAAAAGACAGGTTGTCTCAACTGAATATCTACTTGACCTTGCGGTTTTGCCTGCAGTAAAGCTTGCATCACCACCGTGGGCCCTGCATCATCCTAAGTAATAAACAAAAAAGGTTAAGGAGAATGATGAGAGAGATCAAAGGAGAAAGAGAGGGTGGACATTTTGGAGGATATTTTGGCGGAGAACTAAACTTTTTGGTGCAGCAGAAGAGGGGACGGCATGTAGGAGAAGAGAACAGAAGGTGCAGCTGGTGCGAGCTGAAACGATGGCAAAGGGACAAAACTGTTCTCTGCACACTTCCTCTCTCACAGTTTTTCAGTCCCTCTTTCCTTTGATCCCCCTGTCCCATTTTTTTCTTCCCCCTTTCCCTCCATATCCCATTCTATGCTCCATCCCTCCTTCCTTTCCTTCTTCATCCTCTTCCAACCTTCCCTCCCTCCTTTTTTCCTCCTCCTCTAGTTCCCACGCAGCACATGGGGCCAGCCGGGCTGCTATTGTCCAGGATATCCCCTCCTTGTTAATGGTTTCCTGTGCACACACAGAGGGCTGCTGAGAGAAACAAGCAGTCGCATCTGATATCAGGCGTTGCCACGTACTGCGAGTGCACACAGACACACACACACACCCACACACAACTGTAGGCATCAATAAGCAAACAAACAATACATGCACACACAAATACATTCAGTCCAACATGCACACTCTCAAACACGTTTGAACAATCAGACATGCAAATAACACATAATAATGCACATAACAAAGACGCTGATAAAGCCAGGTGATTTATCTGGACTTTTATTACAGGGAAGTTGTCATTACCACCAGCAACAACTTTGAAAAGCTGAGAAATCTGATTTGTCCGTGCTTGCTTGTGCTTTGTACAACCATAAAATATACAAACTCTCACTTAGGTTCACCAGGAGACACCAACATATCAGGTGGAAAGCAGCAGTTAGTCTTTCTAAATGAAAAAGAACTGAATTGTATTGCCTTGCGTTACCGCAACTGTTGACAGACTCCCTCTTGATAATTACAGATTGATAATGTTGCTACTTTAAGCAGGTACAAGAAAATAACTTAAAAGAATTGCCCATGCATCAGTTATAACAGAAATGAAATAAATGTGGGAAAGCTGGTAGAAACTGGTTAAACATATGTGAAGCCTCAGTTGTTGACTAAATTTACTTTAGAGAGGAAACATAACTTGAGGAAGCAAGCTTAAACAATGAAGCGTCATAGGAACATTAGAGGCTGTGGGTAAATCACGGTTAAGTTTATTTCTACCAAGCTGGTAGCTAACTTCTGTTCCCGGTATTCAGGCAAACAAACACCTGGTTTCAGTTATTCCACCCCATAAAATGCTATAAAAAGCGGGTGACTCTCAGCTACCTCGAGCCCTCCTTTCACACCCCTCTCTCTGTATGTAACCAGGGCCCCCACACTGGGTGTTTCAGCGCAGGGGGAAAACAAAGAGAGGGGCAGTTTCGCCCAGGAACTTGACAGGCGGCGACTGCTTGACCATCTGGAAAAGCCATTCCTGATAGGCTTACAACTGTGGGTGAAACTTCTAAAGAGGTGGGCAGGAACCGAGATCAATCACAATAAATCACTTTTGTTGCTTTAAGTCGTAGTCTCCCTCCTCACAGTTTTTTTTATTATACAAAACACAATACATTAGCAAGAAAATAAAAAACATATAGCTAGGTGTATCCTCTGTGGGATGTCAACATCATAGAAAAAAATAGTACTTTCTTAGGTGGGAAAGTCAAAAGTCTTGTCCTTGAAAGTCCAGCTCAGCTGGGTGGGAAGTTGAGTCTAGATTTTGCTGAGGTTTTCACTTCAGTCAGAAAGCTCCTATCTCCATCCCCCAGGGTCTGTAGGGTTTGCCCACACTGGATGTAGGGGCTGGAGGGCTGATGGTGGTGGAATGGGAGATGAGGGGGAAGGCGCTGAAGTGGAAGGGAAACGCTGAGAGGGAGGACAGAAGAGGAGGGGAGAGCTTGGATGCTGATGAGGGGACCAGTGCGGGGTGCGGGACGGTGGAAGGGGCGGCAGTTGTAGGGGGAACCCGGATCGGGCCTTGATCTGAGTGGGGGGTGACGCTGCCGTGAGTCTCTGCAGCCGATGAGGACGATGAGGAAGAGGTGGAGGAAGAGGTGGATGAAGTGGATGCAGATGACAGAGGAGTTTGTGGGCTGCTGGTGGCGCTGCGTGGTAAAGGCGCCAAAGCTGCACCCTGTTGGTGCTGGAGTAGGAGGGGGTGGGTCAGATGGGCGGGAGGGGATCCAAACGCAGAGCCCCACGCCAGGTGACTCAGGCCAGAGTGAGCCTCCCTCTGACTGGCATAGTTGTTAAGGTGGGAGACCAGACGGAGACGCAGAGGGTCTGTGCTGTCCAAGCCTTCGATTATGCTCAGATAGCGGGCCGTCTCAGCCAGACACTCCCTGAAACCTAAACCACGGTAGTCCATCGCCAGGGCATGGGCGTCAAAATAACCTAAGGGGAGGCCAACAAGACAGCAGATTAGTTAAAAAGAGTCATCTGACCTGCACACTACCAAAACAAGTTTGTCCAGAACTTAAAGGGCTGTCTCTGAAATTAACCAATATACCCCTGGCTTTGGGATGGTGACAAAACAAGACAGATATAATTGGCAAACCAGCCAGACCAGTTTAGGTTTGCAATCTAGACATTTCTTTTAACAATTCATTCTTTTTTTCAAGAATGTGAACCAAATGGACAGAAACTATTCCATGTCCAGCTTTTGCCCTCTTAAGCATATCAACATGACTCTACAACAAGTAAAAGGTGTTGTAACAATGAATAGATCCCAGACAGACCTTTGCCTCCAGCTGCATGAAGCATCTTCAGATGGTCGACAGTCATCTGCAGAATCTCTGCTTTCTCCAGTTTGGCTGAGCCCTTCAGTATGGAGGAGACAGAAAGCAGCCAATTACATATACATAATCCACAAAGAGCATAAATGGACAAAGTTTCACATTTTTGGACTTCCGTATAAGTGACATTAAAGTTGCGTTGCTACCTGTTTCTCAAAGGCGCTGGGAACCAGCCTGCGGAGCTCGCTAAGGCTGTTGTTGATTCTGTCACGGCGCCGTTTCTCAATTATCTGCGGAAAGACAGAAAAGATGTTATTGGTTATTTTCAGACTGTGTGCATATGACCAAAAAAATCATTTTTTTATTAATACAAATGGACTTACTCCTCGGCGTCTTTTCCTCGCCTGCACCTGAGTTGATGTTGTTGGAGACAGAGACCCTATGGGAGAGCTGATGTTCCTTAAAAAAAAAAGATTAAATACGGAAGCTCAATCAATGTCCCAATTCATTTTTCGATTTGAATTAGGCCTATACATAGACTATTAAATTAACCTTTTGTCCATTTCGGCTCCGTTACGCTGGACGACTTTTTAAGAGGAATTTAAAAGAAAACAGGTCCCAAATGACTTACCCATTCTCGTCCGCGCTCTCCTTCTCCACCTCAATAGTCTCATCCAGCTCGCTGTCCGAGGAGCTAAAATCGTGATTCCTTTTCATTTTGACAATTGTCCACAATAGTCCTTCAGAGTGCCTGCTGTGACTGCGTCTGAAGCGCGTGTGTCCAGTTTCGCCCTGAGTTCCTGCGTTTGAAGCGCTCAGCTTTCCCACGGTGTCATTTCAACTCTGGAGCCGGCCAACTGGGGCGGGAGCTCTGGCCGAAACAGCCAATCATCACTCGGCAGTGGGTTTGAGTGACAGCGCAGTTGGCCCAAGCACATACCAGGGCGCTTTGACAAGTCAGAGAGGAGAAAAAAAAACAAGACACCTCACTCTGTGGGTGTTACGGAAGAGAGATCTGGCCTCCGATTTCTAATTTTGGCCACTCCTTAATTTTAGTAAGAGCAAACACACAAAAATAATTCGTTCTATTTTATCTTTTATATAAAACAGCAATTAAGTGGGCCTAATGACTATAGGCTACCTATCTATCCTCAATGTCTCAAGAAATGTGTCTCCAAAAATGTTGTTGAAGTTCTGTGACAGTTAGGCTATACAAAAGTAGTGTAGGCTGCAATCCCATCACAAAGTCCACTCAGTATCAATATTGCATGACCTTCCTTTGCAAATTTGTCATAAATAAATAATAATAAATAAATAAAGTATATCTTCTTCTTGTCATCCCCCTTCATCTTACCTTTTAAAGTTAAGCTTTCGGTGGCACTGACCATGTTTGTAGAAATTGGTGGAATTTTGTTTTCTGGATGTTTCTAATTGCTCAAATGGAGCTATAATATGCCACGACCAGACAAAGAAGATGAATGCATGGAGATATGTTGTGTTATTTTCCCTTAGATGTAGGCTTATTGAGCAGGTATACATCCTGCACATAATAGCCTACTACCTTCATTGGTTAAGTGAAGTCAATTTATTTGTAGTTTTAGTTCTTTTTTAATTCATTAGCTTTATATAATGTCCTCCTTCCATGTGGTTGTCACCTTGGCTTTGCTCTTCTGCTGACAAGTGAAGCGTAATGGGTTTTTGTGACTACATCGGAGTGATTCCTCTTCCACCACATAGAGGATCTTTGGAGAAACTTTGACAGTGGTCCAATGGACTTTCAGTCCGTGACTCTCACCCCACTGCCGCCCCCTCCTCCCCCATGTGTGTCCCGGTGGTGATGAGGAGTGGCTGGCCGGCTGTCAGCACGCGCTAGCCGTGGGAAAGTTCCCTAACCGGCGCTGATAACCAATCAGAGGCCGACGGCCGTCTCCGGCGCTGGAATGAATGGAGCAATTGGTCGGGGCGACGGGCGGTCTGCGAACGAGCGTGTGAACCTGTAATCCAATACTAACTCAGCCCGGGAGGAGAGACAGGGAGCACTGCCGCAACCAGAGGAAGCCACCAAGTCTAATCTTACCCCACAGAGAGACCTCATGCACGGTAAAGACGCTGTGGGGACTTCAAGGACTTCAACAAAAGACCATAGCGCAATCAAAGCCGTCCTCGTCCATTTCCCCTGGAGTTTCCACATCAGCACCACCACAAGTCTAGTGGCTCCTATAATGGTCACACTCCCCAAATAATTTGACAGAGCGGCCAGTGTGTGTTTGTATATATGGAGGGCTCATGTTGCTGCATGTGGAGCTGGAGCTCTTCAGTGGAGGGTCTCCTGTAGAGACTGGATGGTGCCATATTTAAATAACACTGCCATTCATTAGAAAAGGTCAATATTACATGGGCTTTTACATAACTTAAATCAGTAAACATATAAAACCAGTTTGTTACTTTAAAGCACCTTGCCATTTTGTTTTTAATTTGACATTATTATTATTATTATTATTATTATTATTATTATTATTATTATTATTGTCATGGGTCTCTTAAATATTTATTTGTAAAAATATGTGAAAAAGTATAATTGTTTTGTAATTATGAGAGTTTGAGTATCAGCATGTTGTGAGAACAACACAGTAATTTTAGTTCAAATAATTAAAATCTTTGCAGGAAACTGACGTTATTGTCTTTGGTGTGACATAGTAACAACATCTTATGTACATTTCAATAAAAAGTTGCACAAATATTTCATTTAAAAAGGCATTTAAAAATGAACTGATTGTGTTGTATGGGAGTTTCTGCCCATTGGTGTCTTTGTGTCGTTGTGTAATTTAAAGAAAAATTAGGTTTTAAATGGATATGTACATCTACATCTATGAATCTATTTTGCACCCTCAATTTCTTTGTAAATTTTCAGTAAGCGTGTGTGTGCATGTGGCCCATTTTAGCTCGCTGTTTTAGCAAGCTAAAAAAGTACCTAAAATTACTATTTTCAAAAAATCTAAGTTTCTTTACAAATTCGAACAATTTTTATTTGAAAGAGCTTGGGAAACATCTTTCATTACCATTTTACTTTGTTGGTAATGTTACTTTTAATTGCTGTAATGATGAGTGAAATTTACTAGGTTATGCTCATTTCTCTGATGTACTTCATGTAGGCTGTACCCCGCCCACTGTAAAATTCTCAGACCAATCAAAACTATACTTTTTGTCAACTTGTATTGTAGCAACATTCAAGATCAGTATTTGTGATTGGCTGCACATTTTTAGAGTGCTATAAAGCTCCAACCTTATTTGGCCCATTTTACCTGATTGCCCATTTTAGCTGACTTCACCATATGTGATTATTTTATAGCAGTAAGGGCGCAGTAGATTTAAAGTTATATGAGCTGTCCTGCTTTGAATGAGGTGTTTTATTTATTTTTACTGGAATAATTTGATATTTGGGCAAATACTCTTGTTTTTTTCTTTCTGGCAGAGAAGATACCCCTCTCATTTCTGTGCAGTAAATATGAAGCTAATGAAAGCAGTAGGTTAGCTTAGCTTGCAGTTTGGAAGCAGAAAACAAGAGCTTAAGACCCTCACAACTTTTTAAAGGAATACAACTTTTTAAAGGAATAATTTGACATTTTGGGAACTATGCTTATTTGCTTTCTTACCGAGACTTAGAAGATCGATACCACTCTCATGCCTGTAGCCTACAACTATCAAGCTACAGCCAGCAGCTGGTTAGCTTAGTTTAGCATAAAGATGGGAATCAGCTAGTCTGGCTCTGTTCAAATGTTACAGTAAGTGTCTACCAACGCCTTTAAAGCTCAATAATTAACATATAAAAGTGTAACAACAACATTTCGCTCTTGTAGCCTACATGATGTGCTGAACCAGCAGAGACTACCATTGGTTAGACAGAGCCAGGCTAGCTATTTCCAGTATTTATGATAAGCTAAGCTAACCACCTGTTGGCTATAGCTTCAACAGGGCCTGCTTACTGTGCAGACATAAGAGTCGTTCAATCTTCTCATATAACAGTCCACCACAATGCATATATAATAATTATATTTTACATATATACATATATATATAAGTATTTCTTCAAGTTGTTGCAGTTTTATTATGCATTTTACAATGCTGCCAAGACCTGTTATATATAATAATACAGCTATACTCTTTGCAATTTTACCTTAATTAATAAAAACAAAACATTACAGCACATTAATGATAATCTATTGAAATATCCCTTGACATAAAGTATGTTATGTCTATTTATTTAATAAATTATCACAAATGTAAAATAACTTTGTATTTCATTTCATTTTAAAATTTCATTGTAAAATCACTTACCCCACCCAAAACTGAATTTGACACCATTAACAAAATGAAAGCTTTCAGTTTTACAAACATGGACGTTGTTTGCAATCCACAATGAAACCACTTAGTACAGGCAGCATACTGACATTTCATCAAACTGCTGAACTGTCTGAAAAGAGTAACTGTGTTTAAAAATGTCAGTGAAGGTAATATTTTTAATAAATATTGCTTCTTGTGAAATATCCCCTCTAGGCAACAAAACAGAAAGGCTACGAAAGGGTGAAAGGAAATATGCACTATGATCATGTAGTGCGGAAACACAGAATCATGATTCATCAGACATGAAAATATTTCAATATGAATTAGATATACCACCATTCAATCTCTGAGTGAATATACTGTTTCTGTTTATTACCACCCCCCCCCCCCCCCCCCCCCCACACACACACACAGTAATATAGTAATCCTTATCAGTGGGAAGCAACCAAAGGCGCAATAGTCATCACAGAGAGAGGAGGGTGCCTTGTTTGGTTTATATGAATGAGAGGAAGCACTTAGGGCTGTTTTCATCTTATTGTTGTTGTACAAGGCTACACTTGTACCAGGACAGACACACAGATGCACTCCCACATTCATCGAACTGATTATTGGTGAGTTCTGTGTGTGTGTGTGTGTGTGTGTGTGTGTGTGCGTGTGTTTCGGGAGTGGGAGAATGAGAGCTGTGTTCACATGCATCCGAGTTTTCGCAACCTGAAGCCTTTGTCACAATAAACACAGGTGTGAGTCCACATTAGGTGCTGACTCTGTGTGTGTGTGTGTGTGTGTGTGTGTGTGTGTGTGTGTGTAACTAGGGGGAGTTTGGGGTGGCGGAGGAGGGGGTGAGTACTCTTGTTGTATTTCAAGTTCAGCCAGAGTTCCCACGCTGTTATTTTCTGCACGGCTGTCTTTGTTCTACCGGTCTCATCACATGTTGTGATTAGTACGGCCTTTCAGGGGCCGCCCTTTGAAGGTGAGGGCCCGCAACACAACATCATCCACCCCTCCTCCTCCTCCTCCTCCTCCTCCTCCTCCTCCTCCTCCTCCTCTCCCACTGCAAATCAGGCCACCAAACCAACTCAAACCCCGGGCCAAAATAATCAGGGTTGAAATGACGGTTCACCTCCATTGCTCTCTCCACTTTTTCTTCTCTCATGTCTAATTTCCTGATGTCACATATTTTCCTCTGTCTTGTTTTCTTGAATTGTATCCTCACTCTGTCTTCTCTCCCTCTCAATAAAGTACTTTGCTGTGAGATAGAGCTCAAAAAGGTAATTTTGTCTTTCCAAACCGTGTCTTCAGCTGCCAAATGCTGAATACACACGATACACACTTGGTTAAGGGTCAGTTCAAAGGGGAGATGTGTTTTTTAGAAATTAAATGTTGGATCGTCCTGAAATCTTGGCCAGAAAACGATGCGTTTCCATGTCCTCTGCCTGCTCGCACTGTACAATCAAAAAGGGTTTTGCATTTCAGTTTACTAGTCA